CAAAGAAAAAAAAATCAAATAAAGCAACAAAATTTTAGAGTCGTTTGCAATATTTAGCTATTTTAACACCGACTCCGAATTCTTTAAAATTTGGAGTTGTATCACATATCGCCTATTTAATTCTAATTCTGAGTTCGACACCGTTTAATTTGATACCGATTCAGAAATTGACTTCAAAGAAAACTGAATGGCTTCAGTGTCTTTTTTTTTCGGTACGGCGATGTGGCTAGTTTTGCTTTCATCTTTGCCTCTAAATACCTTGCTGGCGTAAAATCTAATTCTTTTTAACATATGTAAATAGTTTGATCTAGGTTTTACAAATTAAGTGTGTTATCAAATTTTAATGTTGACTCGGTGTGTCAAAATTTAATGTCATATCGATATGTCAAAATTTAATGTCAGTTGGATATGTCAAAATTTAGCAATCAATTGATTTTATTTATCGAACTAAAATGATAGTTTTAATGTAATGAATATAAACTGGTTAATTGAATAAAGGATGTTTTATATAAGACACACTGTTTTAGGTAATGGAAAATTTTATCTGTCAGAAATCATTCAGCTGTCAAATTATCAAAGGTGCTCTAATATTAACAACATTTTCAACAAGAAAAGGGTTATAAAATTGTAATTTTTAGGAGTTAAAGTATTATGTACAGAATTCAAAACATTTCTTCTATGAATTTCACTTACAGAGGTGGGTAAATTTTATTCTCAAAATTTAAATAATTCAGCCTTAATGTCAATAGAATGGAATGATGATTGATTTCAAAAATTTTATTCGAAAACATTAAATTTTGGTTTTACTTCCTTTTTTCCATTTTATAATATAATAGTGTCATCTATATATATAAATGAAACATTATAATGCTGGAAATGGATGATTTTTTGAGACAAAAGGAAGAAAAAAGTAAAAACCATTCCTTTTTATAGTGGTAAATTTTTTCGCAATGCGCTTTCCATGCAATTATTTTTCATTTGTACAAAAATAATGAATTCAGTTCATTTAATATGAAAAGTAGATTGCTGATGACAACTATACAACTAGCGTCAATTATAAAAACCACCAACAAAATCAACATGAATTATATAAAGAAAGTGTCAGATGAATGTCAAATTATTACTTGTATGTTTTTTTCATTTTGTTTTTATAGAAAATTATTTTATTATTAAATAAAACTAGGTCATGTTTTATACTATTCTATCTATATTATATAATGTGCGTATATACATTTATTTGACTGTTTATCGGCATTTTATATTAAAAGAACATTGTATGAAACCTTTATTATTTTAATTATAGCATAAGCTGTGGTATATTTATACTATGTAGGGAAACTAATAGAGTTATTTTGATAGTTTATTCTTAAAGGAAAATAGGTTTATGCTAGTAGTTATATATGCAGTGGTGAGCCACAAAATTTTTGCAATATTCCATCCGCATTAAATTCATGTTTATTATTGGAAAAATTTGTCAATTATTGTATAGGATCAAAAGTTTTTTATTTGTTATAGCATTAACATGACATCATAATAATGTTTTCTTTGAGAATATTTTTATATTACATACATATATGTACATGCACTCCAGCCCGTGATATCTAATAATCATATTTTGAAATTGTAAAACTAAATAGTTGTCATCCTATAGCTGCTCCATTATTCCATTATCGTTTGTATTTATTTAAAGATATAACAATGAATGATTTAGCGATAACTTAAGCGATGTGAATCAAATGCAATACACACTATATGTAACTATATTTTCGTACTCGACTACCTTTTTCGTATAGTAGTGCTCTTAATACTGTTTTTAATCCAAACACTTCCATTTATCACAAATTTTGTTTTATTTTTCCTTAAAGTGCTTTTAAACAAAGAATTTCCTTTTAAATTTTTAGTGGTTTTTAAAAAATATAATAATGTAATAGTGTTCGGCACTACAGAAATTATGCTCTTATATAACCGTGAGAATTATTTGATTTTAGAGCATTCCATAAATGACACCGTTAAATGAAAATAAATTGGCAAATTGTTATTATAACAATATAATATTTAAAATTATAACAATAATTGTTAGTACAAAGAAATTTTTTTTTAAAGTGAAAAGTGTAGTCTTTTGTTACAAAAAAAAAAATTATTGATTACATTTAAGTGTTTTACCAAGGTGTTAATTTTAATTGTGTTATTCAATAATTAATAACCTGTTATGGCAGTGTTATTTAGTACATATTTTTATAGTGTTTTTACCTTGAAAATTACGACAGTTTTGAATGTTTTTCAGAAAATTTACAAGAGGATATTTTGCATGTTCGTGGTTTATTGGTACTATGCGTAAATTTTTTACGTTTATATCCGATATTGGTTTAAATGCTCGATATTAATATTTAGAATTCAAAAGCATTTATTTATCGTATTTAGTTATTAGCTTCATAACTGGGAAAATCCAATCGTAAATTTAGTTTTAAACAAGATCAAAGTTGCAACCTATCCTAATATTTTATAATTACCGCCTTGGTTATGTTACGATTCAATAGAAAAATGTGTTCCAATACTCGATTTTAAATCTATAAAATCTAGAATTTAAGGAGAGTTAAGGCGAGAAACCACAATCTATTCTATTCAGAAATTAAAACACTGGATGCAATTTCAACAAAGTAATGTCAACCATTACTTAAAATATACTTATTCCTTTCTAAAATTTCTCTCTTTCGTAAATAATCCACTTATAATAATACTATATTAACAAACTTAAAGTACAAAAGGCGGATTTGTCACAGAAAATAAATTACGCTATAACTGACAGTATTTTAACACAAAATATATGAACTACGTTGTCATCTCAAAAGTTTTCACTGTTCGATTCAAACCGTTTGTTTTTTCAATTGTGTCAAATCGAAAGAATTCAAATGTCACAATTATAAAGATTTTCTTTTTAGCAATTTAAGAATATTTAAGCTTTTTATATTAAAAGTGAAATGAAAATTCTTAATTTATGATTTAAAAAAAAAATGTCTATATCAATCTGTCAAATGATGATTTAAATAAAACAATTTAAAAGCTTTTTAGACAACAGAAATGGAATAATAAAATTAAAAAAAAAATTCCCGCACTTAAATTAAGAAACAAAAAAACTTTACAACTTAAAAATTGTGAAAAAAAAATTATGCACAAACAAAAAAAAAACAGATTTCCAGAGGCAAAGAAAAATATTAAAATTTATGGCGCCATATTTAAAACAATGAAATTAAAATGAATGTCAAAAATTAAAAGAAAAACAAAAAAAAATTTTTTCTCTCTCTTTTTTATTTTTATTAATTTAATTAATGTTTATTAAGTGGCCACTTTGTCATTAAAAAGAATTAAAAAAATCACAAAAAAAAAAAAATGAACAGCCCGCCACTTTCAAAAACTGATTTATGAATTTATGATTTTATTATAGTGACATTTCATAATTTTAACCACTTAAAAAAAACTATATGACATTCTGGACATCAAAGTGCAATAACTATACTTTTACAGATTTTCAAACAAAAAAAAAGAATTTTTTTTTTAGTATAACAGTTTTGATTGTTCACATTATTTGAATAACATAACATTGTACATATAATTATGTTGTAAAATTATAATATTATAAATAATGTAATTATTATTGTTCTGTTATTTTTATTACATTTATTATTATTACAACATTCCTGTTGTCAAAATGATAAAAAGAACATCAGAAATTGTTATACTAAAAAAAAAATTATAATAATAAACCCACATGTATTATACAATTTACGCATACGTACATACATAATATGTAGAGTGGTCTAGTTCTGGTGTACACGCGCTCAGTTGGTGATTTTTTGGAGTTTTTTAGGAAAGCAAACTTTAGGAACAATGTTCGGTGGGGGGGGGCGTCCAAGGATTGTTTTTGAGGGTTTATAAAAATCGGTTTGAAAAATTGATAGTAGATTTGGAGTGTGAAAAAAGTCGGATTTTTCCTCAAGAATATACATTCCAGCTTCGAAGCTGTTGAAGCTACAATAGCGAGTTGTTCAAAAGGTTTTTCTCAATTAATATACTTTCAAAAATAAAATTATGGGTTCAAAATCTGATCATTTTTCAAAAAAAAAAACTCAATTATCTCAAAAATTTCCGCTATTTTTCCTTTTTTTGCAATGCGCTACATCATCCTCTATAATTTTGTCATACATAACTTTCATATCATACGTGCCATTTGTCAGGTAAAATGGCGATTTGTGCAAATAATTTTTTTCGATTTCTTTAAAAAAGTACGACTACACTTAATAAAAATCCAAGACTTTATTTGCATTTTTCTTTAATGATCCTCATCTATACATATCATTTTTTTTCCCAAAAAACCTCAATGAATCTGTCCGTGAGCGCGTTTACACTCAAAACGGAATCGCCTTGTATAGTTATACATTAACACATAAATTTAAATAAAAACTTGTATAAAACATGAATTTTTTTGAACAAAATCAAAATGTTATTTATCGCATATGATTATAAAGTGACAGCTCATATTATCACATTTTACATTTTATTGTGGTTTTACACAATGATATTTGAAAATTTTATTTTGGTTTTTTGATTTTCAGTTACAATATTAACAATGTATTGTTATCATTTTGACAGACCACAGAATAATATTATGGAGTTTAAATATTTTCTTTAAAATGATTATAAAATATAAATTTTGCAAATGGAAAATTTTGATATTTAAAAACATTTGAAATATTCGTGTGAATTCAATAATTAAATGCATTCAATTAAAGAATTTTCAGTTTAAAAATAATTAATTTATTTATACCTTTACTTTTAATAATTCAAATAAAAAGTTGCTAAAAAAAATTTCTTTGAATATACACACTTTTGGTATAATTTGTGTAATTAACTTACGTTTAATCCACATGTAAGACAACTGCTCTCAAATCGGTCTTTAATACAATAATTGAGAAATTCTAATCTTTATTTATCAAATTATTATTATGTCATTTGCTGTCCTTTCAATTGCTAATTTACAATTACAATTAGGCTTACGTAAACTGTGTGAGTGCTCTTAATGTCAAAATCATTATTCATATTGAATTTATATACACAATATTCAAAGAAATTGAAGTAAATCAGTAGCAAGCTACATACTCACTATAAAAATATCGGTATGACAACACTTTCATTCTGGTTATAAATTAATATTAAAAGAACATTTAAATCGATAAATAACATAATATAACAATAATATTGTTATTATTGCCATAATACTTTTTTTTCACCTTATTTAACCACATTAGGAAAAATTGTATAAATTTTAAATTTAGTAAGTTGTATCATATAAGTATAGCACAATAAAATATAATTGACAGCAAAAATAATATACTGCTACTGAATTTTTACTTTAACACAAAATGTATGTTCGAACATTAATCACAACACATTGTATGTTACAATAATAACATTGATAGCGATCGAAGTTCACAACCAAAATAACAAAAAAAAACATTAGCACTGAAAAAAAAAATTGCATTTAAAATTTTTCAATAATTCATAGACAGTTTTGAACACATATGTATGTATATATCTGTATATATGTTTGTATGTAGGATTTAATACCATGTATGTGTGCATGTGTTATGTATGAATACATACTTATGTATATACTCAAGTATGCAATGATTAATAAATTCAAGAACAATATTTTGTTCAGCATTTTAGTTGGACAAAACTGAATAGAAACAGAATAGGAAAAAAAAAATAACAAACATAAGTAAAGTGCAATCATGCAATGCATTCGATTTCAAAGTCAGTCAGTCAGTCATCGAACCACACAGTTACTAGTTTAGAATTCGTTTTTTTTTTTTACTTTTTATTGTAAATTTTTGTTAGAACCTAACAAGCATTAAAATAATAGAATAATTTTTTCTTCTTTTTTACAAAGTCTACATAACACACACATTAATTTTTCTATGGAGGTGATTTACCATAACAAGATACCGTTATTATAAAACATTTAACCAACCTATACCTACATTTTATAAATATACACATATTTGTGTATGTGTAATTTACTATTGTTGTTCTCCTCATGTTATGTAGAAAGAACGAACAAAATATTGAAACCGATATGCGTGTCTTACATTGGCAGATATTCAAATTAAATGACAAGTCTTTGTTTTTATTTTGTATTATTTTAATAAAAATAAAAAAAAAATAACAAGAAATAAAAATCAAACAACAAACACAGTAAGATATAATGATAAGAATTTACAAATTTACAATAGTTACATACAATGCGTTACTTATATGGAATTTGTAGAATATGCACTCAGTCTTCTGTAACCTATACAAAACCGAGGAGGTAAATTAAAATATTTAATGTAAATGTGCTGTTCTTTATTAAATTTTTGTATATCGAGCTATGTTGTAAGCTGCGCTGGTAATTTGTTACTGAAAGTGACTAGTTTTTTTTTTAATTAAAGAACAAAGAGAGTTTTTTTTTTAGAAAGATGGAATATCTTTCCTGAAATCAGCTCCAGCCGAAGTTTATGTATGAAATTAAATACATTAACGTATATTTTTAACTGAAAATCAAGAATTTGAATCAGTCTGAAGAGAACTGACAATATTCGATGTTTGATTTTCGAAAAAAATTTCAAATTGTGTTTGATTCGTGAAAGATGCCTCAGAGAGCCAATAAACACTGCTGTTACGTTCTACTTTAGTTTTCGAAAAATTTAAAATTTTTCTAATACAAAATGTAAGTATAAAGATTCAAATTTTATTTTTTAATTTTAGAAATTTTAGTTTTCTATATAGAAAATTTCTAAAACTCGATAACCAAATTTAAGGCAAATTCTTAGAAATTGAGAGCATAGAATTTGGAAAAAAATTCAAAATTTTTAAATCACCGTACTGTTTTGAATGAATGGTACCAATAACAATTACAAAATAATGTAATAAGAAAACAAAAGACAAAACCGCAACCTCAAAACATTGCAACTTGATTTTTAAATTGCAATTTGGTTAAAATGATGAAAGTTAAGAGTCTAAAAGAAAAATATAGGCATGTCTAAGATATTATTGCTAAAACCTACACATAATTTTTTATGTATGATCATACATACATACTCGTATATACATTCATAATATTTAGATATCTACATACAAAATTATTTAAATAGAAAGAATATTAGTAAATAAATTTTGTGTTAGGAATAAGAGAACATGATTTATAAAAAATTAAAAATGCGAATAGAAAAAAAGAGAAAATTTAAGAGAAAAAATTGGAAAGGAAAATAATTTTCTTCTGAATTTAGTTTCGTATATTTGCATGCTATGAGTAATGGTGTATGTTTGTATGTGTATATTATACTATTTACTTTGTAATGTAATGTTTCATTTGAAGACACTTTATGTAGGTGAACATGATGTAGTGATTCCATTTTAAGTGATCAGGAACTTAATTTTGTTTTATTTTTATTGTTAATTGTATTAGAATTTTATTTTGTATAAGTGACCATATGTTGTCGATATAAAATGCGGAAATTTGTTGAAAATAATTTATGATTCAATTTTTTTATGTATGTAGCTCTATATGTGGGTTTTTTATAACTTGGTTTGTGTTAATTACTTCAATATAATATATGTTATTAAATACGAAGACCTAGTACGATTATTTGTAATATTTTGATTTCAGAGTAATTTTATTGCGATCTATATTGTACGTACTTTTCAAATTTTTGATATACAAATTAAATTTTACACTTAAAAATCGCCTTATACATAAGATGAGTTAGTGTGAATCAATTTGAACACCAATTTGGAAAAGTTTTATTTAATTTTTTAATTATTTTTGAAAAAGTACTGCGTAATTAAGAAACATCATGCCTGGTTAAACTACAATTTATTAAGATGGCAATGTTCAAAAGCAATTAAAAAATTCATTAAAATTTTTCCAATATGGCAATGGTCACCTCAAAATTTTTCATTATTAATATTTTGCAATATAATTTACGTATTTTAGTTTTTTTGCTATAGTTGTAATCGTTTTATGTTTTATTGAATTTATAAAAGTTTAACATTAGAAAAATTACATGTTTTGTATAATAAGTATATAAGAACAATTTTAATTAAAAAATTTTGTTATAATTGAACTATATTTAAAAGATTTCTAACATATTCAACATTTTTTATAATATTGTAAAAAAAAATTCAATTATAATTTAAGAAAATAAGAAAATAATTTAGTTTTGCAGACAAGAACCCATAAATAAATTATTAAAAATTGCTGCATTCTGTTTAGTATAACTAAAACGTTTTTCATTGTTTTGGGTAAGAAGAAATGTAAATATTACAATTAAAAACAAAAAAAAAATCTGCCTCACAACACAATCTAGCTTTATACAATTATTTCTTAGATTCCTAATTTTGTGTATAAACAATTTATTTTTTTAATTATTGAAACTATTTGAAAAAGGATTGGCAGCAAAATTTTTAAATACTAGTTTTTTGTAATTCCTGTTCTTATACAACAATCGAATAGTTTATTTGTTAATAAAATATGCTTTTGAAATAATTTACCTAAACTGAACTGAATAATTTTACAAAAATTATTTTTGTAAAATAATTATATAATTTTTGAAAGTATACAAGATTTAAGTCTTAAAATGTGTAAAAAAGAAAGAAAATGTTGAAAAGTTTCTTTTAGAATAGGATTATAAAAATTCTAATTTTTGAATATCATAATGCTCTTTTCAAAATGGAATGAAAATTCGGTCAAGATGTGTTATTAACTTAAAAAACAAGTTATATAGGACTATGAATGTCAGATTCCGAACAATTAGAGCCCAGTTATTGTATTAAATAGGCATTAAATAGCATAACGAAAGGCATTAAATAGCATAACGAAAGGATTTTCCGGCAAAATTGAATCTAAATTGAATTATATTATCAGGCTGTAAAATATATCTCATGCAAAATAATCGAAGTCCAATTATCGTAGCGGGAATTTTCGTAAACTGCTTGAGGTCGTATCACATACGATTTTCTGGCAAAAGTAGTTCTCTATATACGTTTTTCGATTATTAAAGTCTTGCATATTTTCGAACAATATTCTCTTTAATTCGTTGTTCAGAAAATTTCTGTTATACATAATTTTTATACGTTAATTTTAATTTCTGCTCAAACCAATTAATTATACTATTACGGTAATCAAAATTTTCATATAAAAATTTAATTACTTTATGGTTTAAATGGTATGTTCCATTTCCATATCATTTAATCATATTCAAATAATATTGAAAAGTGTGATATAACATGAAAATTTCTTGTAATACATGCACATAATAAATGAATTTTAATAATATACTTATATACGTATCGTATATAAATGTATTACGATAAATAAATTATCTTTGATTTTTAATTTATTAACCAGTTTCTTTAATAATATTACAAATTTTTTTTTCATTTTAATATATTCATTTTATTCATTTTGCTAAATAAATTTTTATCATGACACATTGAAAATTGTAAATACTAAATAAGTATGTATAAATTTGCAATGGTATACTTACTGTATACATATACTATAAAATAAATTCGTCATCACATTTGTAACTCTTGTAAATAATTACTATATGTACACATGTATGCAGATACGAGTATTATTTTATTCAATCAAAATAAATTGAATTAAGAAATTTTTTTTTCAAATTTATTATGTCTTTTGGTCTGTCAAAAACTCTTTCATAAAATAACACTTAAAATTTAATACAGAAGCTAAGTACTGTATACATATGTATGTAGCTAATAATATGTAAGATGAATATTTTGATAAAAGTGAGAAAAATTAATGCAAATTTTAATTAATCGATGACAAAATTTAAAATGACTAAAATATTGAATGTTGTAACATTTTTATAACAGTTCATATATGATAAAATTTATGATTCACTGTAAATTTTCCAAGTTGCGGTGCTCATATGCATTGCTTGCTGAATGATTTGTAGTTTTAGTAGATTTCTTATACATAATATTATGATATAGAGAAA